CCTCCTCCCCCGGCTCCTGGGGCCTCCTCCCCTGGCCTCCTCTCCCGGCTCCTGGGGCCTCCTCTCCCGGCCTCCTCTCTCGGCTCCTGGGGCCTCCTCTCTCGGCTCCTGGGGCCTCCTCTCTCGGCTCCTGGGGCCTCCTCTCCCAGCCTCCTCTCCCGGCTCTTGGAGCTCCCGGCCTCCTCTCCCCACTCCCAGGCCTCCTCTCCTGGGGCCACGCTACAGAGTTGGAGCGGTGGGGGGCAGCATGTCTGTCACTCTGGAGAACTGTCATTTGGCGTTTTAGGCTGATACCATATGGTGGTGGTTTTGTTTTGTTTTGTTTTTAACCTGAGGTTGAGGATGGAGGAACGGTGGTAACAAGAGCTGGGTATGTTGGGGCTCCTCCCCAGGCGGTGTCAGATCTGGCATGAAATGCCAGTCCGGTGTCTGAGCTGCGGGTTTTCTGAGGCCGCTTGCTGAGTGTCTTGAGCCTGGGGAAGGACTCGTGCCTGCACCACTGGGAACAGTGACTGATGGTGTCTCGCCAGCCCCACCCTGCCCCGTGCGGACGCTGGCCTTTGCTGCTGTGTCTCTGAGCAGCCAGGGAGAGGACCTTGACCCTTATTTCCTGGGGGCAGAGTTAAACAGTCAGAGCACCTTAGCTGGGAACTTGGCAGCCCTGCGCTGTGGGTCTTGATTGGGATCCTCAAGCCACCTGGCTGTGGAAGAACCTCGGGTCACCCCTCATCGGTCAGGCCAGAGGAGAGCAGTTAGGACCAGGGAGGGGAAGCCTGGTGGGGTGTGCGATCAGACCCCTTGCAGCCTCCACCCCAGTTTTTCTCCCTGCTGTGTTGAGCTACCCCACTTAATACCTTGGCTCTCCAGACCGAGAATGTCGACAAAGTCTCACAACTCTGTCTCACCTCGCAGGTTCTCCAAACCTATCCCCGAATCCGATGTCCCCAGCACACAGTACCCTGGGTAAGTAACTCCTCCATGTGACTGTCACCCCCTCGAGCTGCAGCTCTGGCTGGGGGCCAGCATGAAGAGAGACCTAGAAAGCGAGGCTCTCCTCCCATCCTCCACTATGGGTCCAGCCCATGGGGTTTCTGGTTACCGTGATGTCAGGGTGACCCACAGAACCCGGAAACTGAGAACAGCGGTGGCAGGAAAGGCAACCACATGCTGGGTTTTTATTTTCCCTAGGGTGGCAGTTAGTCGTGAGTGAATGAAAATCCCCCAAACCTTGCGCTCGGAAGACGAGGGCCTGTGGTCGGCCGCGTATGCCTGCGTGGTTTGCTGCGAAGCCGCGGGCAGCAGCGAGCTGGAGCCCCGCCTCGTCCCAGTGCACGTCCTCGGGGTTTATCTGGGCGCCTCATCTTAGAGCTGCATGCTTTTGCTTAAGGCAAGAGCCTCTCCAGAACGAGAGGAAAGGCCAGGGCCTTGCCCAGGACTGCCCCGCCTGTGTCAGCACGGGCCTTGGGCTGCGTGTGGACCAGCTTGTGTGCGTGCCTGGCCAGGGAGCAGGTGTATGTCACGTGTTCGTTCTCGTGTTTGGAAACACATGTCCCTAGGCAGATGCCCCGGTGGCCACCCTGCACCGTCTCGGGAGGTTTTGGGGCAGCTGGGCCGTGGGCTCCATGACGCCCCACGGTGGCTGCACTCTGGGTGTGTTTCCAAGGAGTGACCTCCTGCTCCTGGCATGCCCTTCAGCTCCGGCGGGGGCCACCGGAGGCCTCACAACACATAGGATACTCGCTCTGCTTTTATTGATGGGACTTTCTGATGTTGTGGTCTGGTGGTTTTCAAACCCAAGGCACCTCGTGTTGCTGTAGCTCACCCTGTCGCTCAGGGAAGCAATAGCTAATGTCCGCTCTTGGGGCAGCAGCCTGGCTCGGCCTGGCTCTGGTTCCCGTCTGTTTCCGGCCCTGGGTAGCACCAAATGAAGAGTGGCATCCTTCACACCGTTGTCAAGGTGGCGGGCGGCCTGTGGCAGCGGTGGCCCGTGGGCCTATGACGCGAGATTGGAGTCCGTCTCACCATTGTCAGTGTCGCTGAGTGTCGGACTTTGCAGGGGGAGTCAAATTCCCAAGGTGGAAGGACTGATGGAGTTGTTAAAAGCAAACTCTGCAGGCTGGAAACTAGGTCAGCCCTTGAGAAATGCAAGGCCGTGATCGTGAACTTGACGCCTCCTTGCAGTTTTTGAGGGTGGCTGAGGTTTAAGCTCTGAGCTCCTTTCCCCCACCAGGCCAAGGCAGCGCTTCCAGCTGACAGTCTGTGGCAGGCATTTGTTTGCCTTTGTGTCTGGGCATCACTGGCTGCTTGGCTCAGTGGCTGTGGCTGGAAGTTGTCCCCAGGACAGTTTCCTGTGAGTCCTCCCGGGAGCATGTGGACTGGGAGGACAGGCTTGAACTTGGACAAGCATCCTCTTGACAGTGACCCCTCCTTGCTGCCCCCTTTGCAGGCCCTGACCTCAGGCTCAAGACCTCTGGGGGCATTTCTTCCAAAGGAGAGCACAGTGTGTGAATCTGGCGGGCAGGGTGGGGGCCGCTTTGCTGGGAAGATCTGAGTGGGGGCACAAGACAGCTCAGCACTCACGATGAGACACGACTGGGAGACCCGGCTTCCTGCATGACAAGCCCTTGCCTCCCCCCTCCGCCCCCCAAAACACACACCTTCACCTGCTCACTCACTTCACCCATCCATAAAATTTTATGTACTCCTGGCATGATGGTGGTGATGATAGCAAACATTTCTGTTTTTCTTTAAGATTTTATTTTATTTATTTATGCATACAAGAACTGGGGTACACGCCAGAGGTGCAGGGAGTGAGAGGATCCACCAGAGACAGAGTGGGGAGCAGAACAGGAGAATTGACTAAAATACACTGCTGAGGGGAGCAGCGGGCGGGTCAGGAGAGGTCTGCTGCATCATGTGGGTCACCTCCATGGGTGGGGATTGAACTTGTGCTGCAGCAGCTGTGATAGTTTCACAGTGCTGAGACATAACACCTTGTGCCACCAGGGAGGTTCACAGGGCTTCAGATGTGTTCATTCGGTATTTACGCCAAGTATGCAAGGTGGCAGTGTCATAGTCTCAGTCTTACATGTCAGGACACCTAGGAAGTAACTCATCCTGGGTCGCTCCCCTCGGGCACGGGAGCCCTGGCTTTGGGCTCAGACTACCGGCTCCCTCTGCCGCGGGACCTGACCTGCTGGGTCGTTTACACCAGTTCCCTCTTCACTCAGGACAGGCTCAAGAAGGGCACTTACTAGCCTTTAGTGGGGGACAGACGTCAGGCTGAGGACCCTGGTGTCCTGTGGGGCCCCCATAGGGAGCCCTGCCTGCTTGCTCTGCTTCCCGACTCATCTTTCTCTGCCTGGCAAGTCTAGTCCAATGGGATGATTAAAAGAGGACGCCTGCCCCCCAGACTCCCAGCCAAATAAAGGAGCTTATGTGTTGTTGGGCTAGATAAGGCAGGACTTATGTCAGCAGAGAGCAAGAAGCAGGTCCAATACCTGAGCCTTTGAAGGGGGCAAGGTGGCACCCCGCCCTGACGCATGTGAGCTGGACCCCAAAGGCCAAGTGGGCTCCTGCGAGGCAGAGGTGTTGGGATGGGCCCTCAGATGGAGGTGTGGGCCACAGGGACAGCCCCTTCGGCAGTTGGCCCTGAGCACAGCTGGCTCAGCTGGCTGGCAAGTCGGGAGGACTGTGGGGAACGCAGGGGCCCCCAAATGCCTTGCTTACTAGGCCCTCTTTTCTGCAGACAAGTCAGTGGGCTTTGGGGGTTGGGGGAGGGATTTGGTATCTGCTGACAGCTCCATAAAGATTAATCTGCCCACTATGCGGGATTTAAAATCTAGGGGGAATTATTGGTAGCCACCCTCCCCCCGACCCCTCACAGCCACAGAAACCCACGTAGGAAGCTGACACAATGAAGACGGCGGATGATTTAGAGCACTGCTGGTAGGAGAGGGCACTTGAGACTCACAAGGCCCAGCCCAGCAAGTTATACCAGGCAGCCTTGGCTGGGAAGGTGTGGAGACCTCTAATGCAGTGCTGAACTACGTCCTGGAAGAGGTTGCACCGTCAGGAGGGAGGCCAGGCATGCTCTGGATTCGGTGCTGAGGCAGCATCCTGCTGGCAGTTCTCCCTCCCTGCTGCCCCTTCTGTGGGTCTCTGGAAACCACCAGCAGCTGGGAGGCCTTTTCCAGGCGGGGTTGGAGAGGCGGGTGCTCTGGTGGATGAACGTGAGGAGCCTGTGCTCTACTCTGGCCTCCGGCCCAGGGCACCAGCGCAATGAAGCTCCCCACAGACCTGCAGAGGAGAGGCCTGTTGGGTCCGCATTTCTCTCCCAGATCTGACCACTACCAGGCACTGCTTCCTTACATCCCCACAGGTCTCAGCCACACCCCCTAGATCTCACTTTGGAACCACCCGTGGGGGACAGGCCAAAGGTGTGGGAGTCGATAAACTCAGTAAGGAGGGAAACACAGCTTAGGAAGGAAAGAGGGCCAAAGCCACGCTCTGGGGGCTCCCCCAGGAGGATTGGGAAGAGGTCGAGGGGCCACAGCCAGAGGGGAGGAAGGACAACAGCCGTGGGCAGGTCCCGCACAAGGAGAGGCAGCACCACGGAGCTTGGCGTGAGTTCAGGACGTCCTTTGGGGAGCGGTGGCGGGACGCTGGGGGTGCGGTCGCTGAGCGCCGGGCTCATGCGGGCACATGGCCGGTGGCCACAGAGGTGGCGGCAGCAGCCTTTGCTTGCCTCCTCCTGACCAGGGTATCCCACATGGCAGGGTGGCGGCAGGCACACAGCGAGCTCTCACCAGAGAAATACGGGCCACCCCAGGCCAGGGAGACGCTGCTCGTAAAGAAATGATTCTGCAAAAGGAAATAAGCATAGGACATCTGTTCTTGTCTCCCTTCCTCCCCACACCTCCTGCCTCCTGGAAACCAGTTCTGGTGACTAGAGGAGGAGCCCTAAAGAATAAGTGTGGGCCCAGCTTATTGCCAGGAACCGCCTCTCAGCAGACCCCGGGGCCTTGTTTGCAGAGAAGGGAGCAGGTGATGTTCCTCTTAGGACACATGGCGCTGGCTGAGTCACCTGGAAATTCCTAAGCACTGAAGTCAGGATGGGGTGGAAAAGGAGGTGGAGAGAGGAAAAGATGAGGGGCTGGACCTGCCGGTGAGTAAGCAGTGCAGTGAGGCCTCTTGGGAGCAGCCCTGGCTGATGGCGGCCAGGTGACAGGGAGTGCCCTGGCAGGGCTGAGCAGGACTCCAGGAGGCCACCTCTGCAGGGCGCCTTCCTCTCCCGCCAGCGAGAGGGACGGGCTGGGCCGGGCAGGCTGCGCCCCAGAGAGGTCGGGGACCAGGTTCTAGGGCCAGCCTGATTCATGCTGTCCTCGGGAGATGGCATGAGGCTTTTTCTAAAACTTGACAAGCTCTAATCTTCAATAAACCTGGGAAATTGCAGGCAGGTGTCCTAACGACAGGAAGCCAGCTGCCGGCTAGGGTCCTGCACGCTCCCCTGGTTTTGCTGCTGGACTTGGCCAGTGTTCCTGCTTGCAGTAAACCAGCCTGGGGCTGAGGGGGCCCTGGGTGCTTTCTTGTAGCTCCTGGCTTATTGCTCTGATTTTTCACAAATTAGGCTGGAATTAGTGCCCTGGATGTTGGGGCACAGCTGGGCTGCAACCCAGGAACTACCTATTAGCCAGGGGGCAGGGTATGGGGGGGACACTGTATGGAGTGGTAAGGAAATGTTGCACACCCACACGCGCTGGGCCTGAGGGTCGAGTGTGCACAGATAGCAGGGCGGAGGCCCAGGCAGAGCAGGGACAGAGCTGGGGGGTGTGCAGGTGTCCAGAGGGCTGGAACCAGCTGGAGTTCCTGGCCCTCCCCAGTGAAGAGAGCCCAAATGAGGCCGGTCCCTTTTGGGTTTGACCTTTAGCCTTGTGGCATCAGTGCTTTTGGCTTTTGCCTGCCCCTTGCTTTTGGATTATAGTAGAATGTTAATTTGCCCCCCTCAGGCCTCCCCCGTTTTCCTTTACCATTTTTGGATCCTTTGCACATGTTTTTAATAGGCATCCCTTAATCCAAGTGTTGCCTTCTGGGTTTTATTCTGTTTTCTTTTCCTTAAACAAAACAGAAAGCCTATGCCAGCTTGGAATAGCACTCGAAACTGAAGCCAACCAATGCGTAGGCTGGCAGTGAGCCAGTCATGAATTAAGTGCCCCATGCCACTCGAGAAGTCTGGCCGACACCACACTGGTGGGGGCCGGGGCCCCGAGAATGGCTGGAGCTGGAGGTTCCTGTGTCTCTAACACCTCTGCTCCAGGAAGAAAGATTAGCACAGACTCAGCAGTCTGGCCCAGAGCTGGGCTGCGCAAAGGGAAAGCCTTGGCATGGGCCACCATACACCACCCCAGGTGTGTGTCCCGGACCTGTAGAAGCACATCACTGTTCAGTGGAGGGAGTTACCTTAGCCTGTAGAGCCATCCTCCCAGGGGAGCCTTTGAATGGCATGTTAAGAAACAAACATATGTACAATTGCTCTTGCATTTGTTGGGAACCCAAGATAGCATGGCTGGCTGGCTGGCTGGTTTGATTGATATGGAGCAGAGTTGCCACCTGTCAGATTTCTGTTAAGATTTAGTGCCAGGACCAGCTTTGTTTCCTCTGTGGAACTAGAAAGCATTGTCTGTGCATCAACCAGAACATGCAGCATATTATCCTCCCTTTTTGCTTTGTCTGCTAGGAAGCTCAGAGCCACAGAGTTCTTTCAAAAGTTGTGACTTCTTATTATCCCATTAATAGTTTTCTCCTTTCCAGTATACTTTAGGTTACTCTTGTACTTAACCATTATGTGGATAAGCCCTTTGGAGGAAAAGAAACGAGGTCATACACGAAGTCTTACATTGAAGTGCCGTTCAGGACAGAACCTGCCTACTCTTTGATGTGCAGCTTCTGTTATAATACTTGGAGGAAGTAGCTGAGGTGATGGCAGGGAGGGAGGTGACAGGCAGCGTTGGCTTGCAGGGAATTATAAATGCACAACTTGTACTGCTGCTCTGCTTCGGCTCATCCAAACAGCACTGTCTGAAATGGTACCAAGACTCTGCCTTGGCCTGATTACACTGCTCCCCCAAACCAGGATCATCTTAATTATGTGTCAGGCTCCTGCATTCAGTGTTTTCCACAACACTGTCCAGTGTGTCTGCAAGTTTGCCGGAATGTTTGGACAAGAGTTCAGATCAGCTTGGGAGGGCCTCTCGGGGGTGGCCCCCAAGCCCCTCCCTGATTCTGAGGTGCCTTGAAACCCCCCACTTTGCCAGAGTAAGGTTCTGGCACCATGCTACCCAATGGGCAGCTTGCCAGCTTTTCTTCGGATGGGCGGACGATGTCAATGTTCCCTGCAAGCCTCACTTTTTCTCTAGCTGGACTAAGCCCAGCAGAGCTGGACAAAACTGTGTAATTCCGGGGTGAGGACTCTGTTCTGCACTTTGATGAGCACATCAGGCAGCCTCAGGCTGACCATGCTTGCAGCAGTGACCTAGATGTCAGCTTCAGGCTGTAAAGCCACTGTTCAGGCCAGAGAAGAGTTGTGTCCTGCAGGTCACACAGCAAGGTCAGCAGTGCCTGCCCTGGAAGTGGTGGCCAGCAGCCCTGCCCAGCCCTGCCCAGCAGCACCTGTTGGCTTGACATGTCTGACCACTGTGAATGCTTGGATTGCATTGGGCTTTTTTTTTTTAGGTTTCCAAAGCAACATAGCTCACATTTTAGTGACCACATTGTCTAGAATACAGCTTATCTCACTGGAATGTTGAAGCATCGGGCAAAGCCAGAGCCAGATATGGCCAACAGGGCTCACCCCAACCTTGGGGGCACAGTGCCTGCATTGCTCCTCTGTTCCCATTGAGGAGCTCAGGTCCCCTCTGTTCCTCCTCTTGCGCCACCTAGGAAGAGAGGAAAGAAGGGCAGCGCCCCTCTTACAGCGGTCAGGACAGGAACAGGCGATCTCAAGTTCATAGAATCAAGTTGCCATTGTTAGTAGCTGCGGCCCCTCAGTCCATACACAGACCCCATGCTCCCATGAAGCCATAGCTCCTCCGTCTGGAGCGGGACACACTGCTGCGCCCTTTAGTCGTAAAGCTCGTATTCCAGGGCCTGGCTCAACGTCTAAGGTGGTGGTTGTCAGCTGGGGGTTATTTTGCCCCCAAGAAGACATCTAGAGACACTTCCTGCTGTCACAGGAAGATGGAAGGGTGCATCTAGTGGGTAGAGACTGGGGTGCTCCCAAATGTACAGTGCTCTGTAATTCAGAATGCCCCTCCCCTCTCTAAGCAAGGGATCCTCTGGCCCCAAACTCCAGCATTTCCAAGACTGGGAGACTGGATGTAGGAGTCCAGCTCCAGCAGAGAATTCCTGGACATGTGTGGAGGGCAGGATGGTATCTGTTTGCATCTCGTGTGGCCCTTTTCTCTCTATCCTTAGAAAACTCAAGCCCTAACAGTAGACCAGGACCACTTGGCCTTGAGGGGGGTCACCTAGTATCCCCCAAGTTGCTCACATTTCTTTGGTAATGCACCTCACCCGCCCCTGAGGGTGTGGGATGTCTCCCTCCCTCCCCCCACCATCACCACTCCTGTGCCTGGCTCTACCCACCCTCAGAGGCCGGGTGAGCTGGGGCTCCTGCTGGCTTCTTGCCTCTAAGTTACCTGGTAGACAGCGAGCAGGTCTCAGACCAGGGCTGAGACTTGGCTTGGCACACAAGTGCCATCCTTCTCCCCAGACCCCCAACATGCACCGAGTCACCAGGCAGCTCCAAATACATTTAGTAGCCAGGGTTTGTGATCCAGAATGGGGACCTCATATGGAGTAGCAGGAATGAGCCACACTGTGATTTTCTAGCCAAAGGTGGTGCTCTAGCAGGTGATGATGCTCCCAGCTTAGGGGTGCGCAGCAGCAGTGGGAAGGACTAGATTGGAGTGCCGGGAATGCGGTGGCCTGGCACAGGTGAGGTAGGGTGAGGGATGGCCCAGGACTGGGAGGCTGGAACTCAGAATCACTAGAGGTGACAGGAGGGTTGAGGAGTTACAGGAAAGGTGAATGTGCAATCATGTGAGAGGCAGACTATCTCAGGGGTCCCCGGACTCTTCTAAGAAAACCAACAAGGTGGTGGTTTTGCTTTGGGGAGCCCTTGATTACTACTTCAGACAACCCAAGGCAACGACAGCATCTGTGGGGGTTGTGAGCTGAGGCACAGCACGGGTCCCCCACTGGCCAGCCTGGTCAATAGGCATGGGTGCTGCTGTTCAGTGGATTTAGCAAATACCCAGCAGAGCCCAGGGCTGATAACCCTTTAGGGGGACAGGGGTAACTGGGGTAGATAACTTTGGAGGCCATGGGAGAGGGGCGGGGAGGTGAGCGCCTCCATAGAGTGGCCTGACCACAGCAAGCGTGTCCAGCATCTTTATCCAGGGGCCGCCTGCTCCTGCTCTGGGCTAAAACTAAGAACCCATGGCTTTTCACATGATGTGGCCGGGCAGGTGAAAAGCCATGAGTCATCTGAGCATCTTGTCCTCTTGGATCCTGCACGTTTTATGCACTAAAAGCTGTGAGGGCAGCAGGATTAGCAATGCCCTCTGAAAGTGGGGATTCTCCCGGAGCACCCCAAGGACCCGGTCATGTATATCCCACTGACCATGGGCTTCTCCTGTCTTCAGACCTGCAGCCAGTCACCTACTGCGAGCCAGCCTTCTGGTGCTCCATCTCCTACTACGAGCTGAACCAGCGCGTCGGGGAGACGTTCCACGCCTCGCAGCCCTCCATGACGGTGGATGGCTTCACCGACCCCTCCAACTCGGAGCGCTTTTGCTTGGGGCTGCTCTCCAATGTCAACAGGAATGCTGCCGTGGAGCTCACCAGGAGGCACATCGGTGAGGGACCCACCCCGGTAGTCTTTGCCGTGCACATCCCACCCCTACCACCACCCGGCACCCGCTGCTGGGAACAGGAGCAGATTCACCCCAAATCCTGTGCTCCAGGATTCAGGGGAAGATGGTAGGTAGGGTTTGTGTTGCTGGGTCGTTCTCATTTGGTGACACGGATCACCTATGAACACTTAAAAGCTACAGAGGAAACCACGTAATGAGAAAGGGAAGCCTGTGAGGAAAGCCACACGAGATTCTAGTAAAACTGCTTTGAGTCCAGATAGGAGAGTAAGCAGGGAGTCAATCGAGGGATCTTTTGTTAACTTCACATGATTCTAGGAAAGGCTCAGAAGAGCACTGCCTGCTGCTGGAGGCTCAGGAGAGGCTAACGCCCTGCTCCCAGAACGGGGCCAACGGGCACTTTGTTAGTCAAGGGGAGAGGACACCTGGCATGTGCCACTTTGGCTCACACTACCTTGCCAGGGATAGTCATAACCTTGCATGCAGGGTCCCTTGGGAGGGCTGTGTCCCCTCATCACCCTATAGCCCCGGGATGCACAGGAGCTCCAGGTGAATTCATGCACTGGGGAGAGCAGCAGGGATCTGTCCCAGGTGAATCTGAGCACCCCTGCTCTTGTCTGTACACTGTCTTGGGTGATCACAGGTGATTTGAGGAGATGATGTTACCGTAAAGAGAAACCTGGAAGCTAGAGGCCAAGGCTGGCGTGTTCATTCTTCAGGGGGCCGAGGGGTGAGCCCTGCCGCCAGGGTCACAGTGATGTAATGGTCCCTGCACTGAGCCCGCACCCTTCCCTCAGGCTCCGGTTTAAGAGCTGAATCTGGGTGGCACCTGTTTTCCTGGCCTCTGGGCACCTTCCCCAAGAGCAGCACTTCCTGGGCAAGAGAGCACTCATGGCCGGAGTGTTTTACAAAACTGCAGAGCCAATTTGAAAATGATTTCTGTCCATCTGGAGTGGATGTATGAGGTGAAGGGAATGTAAATGATACACACCTCTAGAACGTTTTACAGAAATGCACCGAGGGGAGACAGGTACAGGGGGTGGCACTGAGCTGTCCCTGTGGACTTGCTCAAAGAATTCCTGCATCTTGGAGTGGGACGGGCCTAGCAGTAGCAACCGACTCACCACTCACTTCCTTGAGGTGGGCGTGGCGATTCCCATTTTACACACACAGGCCCAGGGGACAAGTCACTTGACTGGGGCCCCTGGCCAGCCAGTGGCAGAGGGCGTTCCGGAAGCTTATTTCCTGTCCTCCTCGCCCTCCACCTCCCCAGCTTTTTACAAACCCAGCATCACCCATCGTTTCACATGTGTGGGTTTAGGCTTGGGTCCTGTCTGGCTGGCAAAGACCCAGTCCCGCAGCAGCTCGGCCGCTTCCTAGGCATCAGTGGCTGTGCGGAGGGCGTGGGGTCCGGTCTGACACACTTCTCTGCAGGGCGAGGCGTGCGGCTCTACTACATCGGAGGGGAGGTCTTTGCAGAGTGCCTCAGCGACAGCGCCATCTTCGTCCAGTCCCCCAACTGCAACCAGCGCTATGGCTGGCACCCGGCCACAGTCTGCAAGATCCCCCCAGGTAATGCCACCCCCACCCTGCCCCCAGGTCCTGAGCATCCCCATGGACAAGCTTGGGATGCTGGAGACAGTTCGTTCTCTCCTTGGCGTTTGCATCGCCAACCTGGAGGTGCTTGGCATAGGCTCCTCTCGGCCTTACTGTCTTAATGTGCCCCCCCGGAATCCCCAGGGAGCAGTACCTGGCAAGAATGCCTTTGCCCACAAGCCCCTGCTTTTTGCCCAGTGAGCATAGATGCTCAGGCATGTGCCCGCTCCCTTCATTCCACAAACATGCAGGTGCAGGGCAACGGCGTGAGTGGCTGTGGGGATGAAGGAGGCCCCGATCCTGTGCGCTCACCTCACACACCAGCAGTGTGTACAGATGAGACACAAAGGGGTTTAACAGAAGGGAGGGCGCCGCCGCAGCACTGAAGAGATGTTTGGGCTCTAGGGATGGATCAGGACCCGTCATAGAGGGAAGGGCCCTGAAGGATGGGTAGGCATTATGCACAGGGTGGCAGGGACCGAGGCAGCATTTCAGGCAAAAAGGGACAATTATGAGCAGAGACCCCAAGGTGATAGAGGCTCAGACCATGGAAGAACATGAAAAAGGATTGCTTTCATTCTGGGGACATGCTGAGGGCTTTCAGAGCTGAGCGGATGACTCACCCCTGTAGCCAAGAGGCTACACCCCAGAGGCAGCTTGGACAGGGTCAGACTGGGCAGCAAAACCAGGCTGGAGGCTGATCCAGCTCAGGCCTCTTGAACTGAGGCAAAAAGTCCCGTCACAGCCCTCTTCTCATGTGGGCTGCAGCCACTGGGTGGGCGGTCCAGGACTGAGACGGGGGGCTCTGGTAAAGCCAGTAACCACGTGTGGCATGTCCTTTCCTGCCCACTAAGTCGCAGAGGATGATGGAATGGCAGTCCACGGCAGTCAACACAGGGATGCAGAAGTCTGACAATACAGTGCTGAGACGAGTTGAGAGGGTAAGCCACCTGCCTTGAGACACAGAGCTCTAGCAGGTGGTAAGTGGCTGATCCAGGGTGAGACGTGGCCTGACTGGAACTCTGGAGTTGAGCACCGCTCTGCCTCTTGGTTCAGCTGGGGGCCAAACCCATTGTGGCCCAGCTTCACCACAGTTCCCCTTGGAGAAAACAAGAAGCGGAAACTCAGTTGCCGCCTTGGCGTTCTGCCTGCTCCTTTCCTAACCTTCCCCATCTTTCTGGTGAGGGCCCAGTTGGCTGGGTGGTGGTTTTAGCTCAATGTCAGAGCCAGGGGGACCCAGGAGGCCAGCCTCTCGTTTTTTTTTGTTTTTTTAATGAAGAATGAGTGGCCAACCACCCCAGTATCATACAGCACGATCAGGATCCCAGTGTGGGCCTGTTAGTGTCACCTCAGCTTACCTTTGGGACATTTCCGGCATGTGCTTTTGTCTTTATTTTTCTGGTTGACACATTCCTGGCATTCAGGTGGCAGAACTTCAGATGAGATTTATTTTAGACTTTATTTGTGCCTGTCTCTAGTTTTACTGCCTGGAGAATTAAGACACACCTTTAGTTTGTGTTGAAAGTCACACCAACCCAGTTTTGTGCCCAAAGGCCAAAATGTGGCCTAGCTCTCCTCCCTCCTGGCCCCAGCGTGCTCCTGGAGGAGCCTGGGAGGAAGGTTTCTGGGACCCTTGGCCCCTCTACTCAGGGCAAGGGAACCTCTCCCAACCATCTTGCTTGCTCTCAGGAACCCACATTACAATCTCCTTAGCACTCTACTGCTTTAGGAGCTGGAGCCCACAGGCCAGCATTTAACACCCCTCTCCCCGGGTAGGGGGACCCATCCCCAGTGAGGTGCTGGGTGTGCAGCCTGTAGTCAGCCCAGCACCGTGTCACCCTGGCTGTGTGTATCGTCATGTTCTGGGTGGTCCGGGGGTGCCTTTAGCCAGAAAGGTAGCGTTGAATTTGTCCATCCTGATAAGCACCATTTTTGTCTTGTTGGCAGGATGCAACCTAAAGATCTTCAACAACCAGGAGTTTGCTGCCCTCCTGGCCCAATCTGTCAACCAGGGCTTCGAGGCCGTCTACCAGCTGACGCGAATGTGCACCATCCGCATGAGCTTTGTCAAAGGCTGGGGAGCAGAATACAGGTCAGGTCCGGAGCCCCGTGGCCACAGTACAGCACAGAGATGAGCTGTACTGCCCTCACCCTCCTGAACAGACACCAGGGATCACTGAGCCCGCGGCCTCATGGGAAAGGCCCAGTCCCACTAGATAAGGAATTAGTGTGCTGGCACTTCAGTTTCTTGAGTGCTGCAAGCATACACAACTCACCGCAACCCTGGGTGAGGGCGTTGTGTGGCTGAGTGAATGAAGGCCCACAGAGGGGAAGTGGCCTGCAGGAATTGTTAGAAAGGCCAGTCTAGAACTGTGTCCTCTCAGCTGCTTCCCCTTCCTCTGGGCAGACAACTTGCGTCAACCCCCAGCAGGGAGTTGTCTTCATCTCACTATCCCTACCCCCGGTGAGGTGCCATCTCTGTCTTGAGGACTCCAGCCTGAAGATCTAGGCTATTAAACCTGAAGAGCAGGGGAGGGAAGAAATTTGGGTAATCACAAAGGAACGAAATGTACTTGCTCAGGAAACAAACAGCTTTTTCAGAATTTCAGATATTGGTTTAAACGTGGCACGGGCCTACATGGTCTGCTCTTTATTCTGACCACTCTGGGTTGGGTTTAGCGATTCCAGTCCCTTTTCTTTCCACACATGGTCAGGCATGAGCCAAGGCTGTGTGGCCTTTCCTGCTCCAAGCCCCCCCTTCCCAGCCGCAGCTCCTGCAGCAGACGGAGGTACCCACACGTCAGCTGGAGCAGCCAGCGCCTTGCAAGTTACTCTCCCCTTCTCTTCATTTTTCCAGATGTTTGGAATCCATTTTGTTTTGGAGTCATTCTGCACCCAGGCCAAACCCATTTCAATATTGGCGCTGGGCCACTGTTCATAATGAAATCCAGATGAGCATGACTTATGGAAAGTCAGATTCTCATTAGAGGATTTCAGTCCGTAAAATCCTCTTCCATTTACCGTATTTTAGCTGCTGTTCCCCATGTCTGTCTCGGTGCCACAGAACACAGCACCTTGGTCCCTGGGGTCTTCATGAAATCCAGGATGAGGAAGCCATTGTGCACTAAAGTGGTCAGATCTCAGGAGAATGTAAACCCAATAATTCCCACCTTAGGACATCAGCCCAAGCCCAAAGGTTCAGCCCCACAGACATTTCTGCTCATCTCTTGGGCCTGGCTGCAATCATTTAGGGGAAGAATTGAAAGGTTACAGCATTAATTTTCTTTTAGTGGGGAAGGAAAACATCTAAAGATGAACCTCAAAGAGCTAAGGGGAAGACTGTGCACGTCCATTTGTGAACCCTTCTCCCCACCCCCCCCATAAAAAAAAAAAATCAAAACGTAAGCCAAGCACAGAGGGTGGTGCCCCTGCAGCTCTGAGGGCTGGGGAGATGATCTTGGTGGCAGAAGCTGTCCCCTGGACCAGAGAGTCACTGTGCAGGACACACTGGCAGCACTGCACGGCCTAACTGGCAGGCGCGGCCCTTTCCCAGAACAGTCTGCCCTCCTCCGGCTCCTGGGCCAAGGAGAGTAAGTTTTCATCCCTTCTGCGAGGTGTCTGTTAGCAGCGCCCAGGCCTCTCACCCCAGCTGGCACCAGTGCCGTCAGCCTCAGCAGATAGCCTTTGCTCAGGGGAGGCCTCTGGGAGCTCGCCTGCAAGCTACGTCATCGACCAGCCTGAATTTAGACAAAGTGCTTTGGGGAAAAGAAACGTGTGGTGTGCCTTGTTTTTTTCCAGTAATTGTTCCATGGCTTGCACTGCTCGTAAGATTTTCCAAAATAAGGCCATAGATGGGAATTATATCAGCACATTGGGAACCAACGGCATGTGGACTGTCGGCACATTGTAAAAAACACCCCTCAATCAGACAGACACGCGTCATCAAGGCCTCTGGGGCTTGGAGAGTTGTGGTGCCCACTCAGGACATATGGAATCCAGAGAACTTTGCCCAGGCTGGAGGATTGCTGCTGGGGGCCCTGTCATAGGAACTGGTGGGCCTCTGGAGTGCCTTAGAACTTGCCTTTAACTTCTCAAGGGCTACCTCCTTCCCTGTCAAGAGAAGCGGATGGAGTCAAAGTTCTCTCCTGTAGGCAGGAACGAGCAGGCCAGCGCTGGAAGGAGGACAGTCACCAGTGCGGGGATTGCTGTTCTGACTGGTGGGTCCTTTCAGACACCTTTTAAGTTCCTGTGCCATCTTTTCTCTCCCCATGTTACAGGAGACAGACAGTGACCAGTACCCCCTGCTGGATCGAGCTGCACCTGAACGGGCCTCTACAGTGGCTTGACAAGGTGCTCACCCAGATGGGATCCCCAAGCATCCGCTGTTCCAGCGTGTCTTAGAGATAGTGCGTGAGGGGGCGAGCGGGCTTGGGGAAATGGCCTCGGAGGATGTGAAGAAGTCAGCACTCAGCTCACTGTTCTCAAGAAGAAACTGTTCTCCACCAAAGCAGCACCAACCTGGTTTCTGAAACAGGAGCAAAAACCAGGGATGGGTTTTATCAACAGCCTTGTCTGCTAGACCCAGTTTGCTCCTTGGCTACTGCTGATGACCTGAGTGAACAGGTAGTAGTTTCACCATCTGCTCCTTCACCCCAGCCCCTTCCTTAACAACAGCACCTGGGTTGTCACTGATCAACAAGAAATGACCCTCTGTCTAGGACTGGAGCGTGGACTTCACCACGGAAGGCTGTTCTCTGTAGGGAAAAGCCTCCCGGGACACAGGCAAACCTCAGCCCTGGCACTCTGATACCACCTCAGCTGAGCTTTCCTGGGCTCAGCTTGCTGCAGACCCCGTACCTGGGAGCTGGACTGATTTGGGGGGGGGGGGTCTGTCCCCCTTTCCTCGTGGAGCATGCTGTTTGGTGTGCAGGGGAGGACAGTAGGAAAAGTCGGTGACAGACTCCTTTTTAAAAACCTGATACTATTTGTCCTTTCTCACGGCGAGCAGCGGGAAGGACCTGCTGCGGCGCAGTACGTATGCAAGGTATAGTTTCTGTTATCACGTCACTCTCAACTTGGAAGCACGTGAAGTACTCAGGGGAAGCACGAGGCTGTGACAGGAGTCTGGGGCTAAAGCAGCACTCCACGGCGAAGGCCTCGTCATTCTCCATCTTCTCATGCATTCGGCTCTACTGGTTTATGTAGTCAATTGCATTAATTAAATGACATTTATCATATGCTCTTTTAAAATGTTTGTTTTATATATTTTTAAAAATCCCTGGTTGGCACATTGACTGGGAAGCCAGAGTTGGGACCCGGCAACGCCTCTCCCAAGGTGCAGCTTTTCTAGGCTTTGTTGAGAAGACACCTGCCAGCAGTTTTTGGAAGCTGGAATTAACAGAGACAAATTCACCAGAAGGGAAAAATCTCAGGCCAACACAGGCAAGTGAAAAGGGCTATTAAATTTTTTTTACACCTTTGAAAATTACAGGCTTGGTGCAAAGAGGTCTGTCATCTTTCCCCTGGGATATATGATTATCTAGCTCATGGCAGAGGAGCATCAGCGACAAGTCTGGCAGTTATATTGTATAATATAATAAGTAAATACTAGCTCCCACTAGCAATTAGTGAGAAAAACTATTATAAATTATTTCAACTGGAAAAAAGCCCTTTTCTTGGACTGGCCCTTTGCAGAACACAGCAGACATAATTGCCACTTGTAATTGGTACTTTATTTTTTGCTGCTGTTTTTGTATGAGTTATCCCATATTTTTAGATGGATTTCTATGAGGAAAAATAAAAAAGGATTTCCTATGGAAGTCCTGTCTTATTCCGGGTGAAATGGAGAGTATGTAACTCTTGGCAGGTATAAATCGCAAATGTGATGACATTTCTGATGCTACATGGAGATAGATGTTGGGAGCTTCCTGGAACCTCACCTGCAGGATCTGAGCTGTAGCCTTGAGCTTTCCATGTAGGAGGGCTGTTCTCCAAGCATCCTGAGGAGACAGGAGCACTCTCAGAGCAGAGCTAGGTAGTCTCACATGGGTTCTCAGCAGAGAACCCAGAGACAACACACAAACCCCTTATGCTACCTGCGAGGGACAATATATGCAGGTCTGAAGCTGGGGCCTGGCGCCCTCTGTGGACAGAGTCTCATGGCTGCGAGACCCTCTGGGACGTGTGTGCATGCCTGAGGTCAGGTATGACACCTGAGCTATGAATTTTGGCCCCAACTACAGAGCCTCCCTGAAGTCCTGAGCAGTATCCTCCAGGTGCAGCTGAGCCAGCAGTCCTGTTTGGTTACAGCTGGATGGTTCCTTAACCTCCTCAAGAAGAGCTAAAGGCTGCTTCTGGGGGAGGCATGAGGTTTTTCTGTTTTTCCAAAAGCTACTTCCTTGGCCCAGATTCTTTATAAAATAGACCATTGGAGGAGGATGTGTAGGTAGGCCATGTATAATAGTAGTGGCCCTTCTTTTAGTTTTGGCGCTTCTTGACCGCATGGCATGTATGCATTAAACACTTCTTGTACGGACAGCTGGAAGGGGCCAGAGGAAACAGGGCAGTCCCAGAGGGTGCTGTCCAGGCAACGCTCCACGCATGCGTTGTCCTAGGCTCACTGCCACGCCGCCGGGGCCTTCACCCTGTGGGTTATGCCAACACTGATCTGAGAGTAGCTAACACACATCCTCCTCCTCGGCACCGCCCCCAGGAGCCAACTTACTCCCTTTTTCGCTCCTCCCTACTCCCCTTCTTCCTGACTTTATTTAGTAGCTCAGATCCTTCCAGCGGGTTCTGGTTACAGGCCTGTGCTGGAACATCATCTCAGCTGGCCACCTTCCTGGCAGGCTGCGGGAGACCTGACATTTTAAGAGAAGCCTGGGGTCAGGAGCAGGGCTGTTATGACTTACCTGAGGAGGCACACGGCTGCTGGCAGAGTTCTCCATTGTGCTTATGCTGCCTGGTTCTTTTTTTTTTTTTCTTTCATTGACCATGGTGGTTATTTTTTTAAATTGTTGTTAGTGGATTGGAATGAGCTATGGCACAGATCTTGTGCTTAGTTTTCGTTTTTCTCCATCTTTCCTCGGCTTCCTAGAGTTTTGGAATATTCCAGGGCAAAATGCCTTTAATGAAACCACAAAAGAGGAATATTAGGTAGTATGCATGTCATGCACGTGAGCAGGCTGGGGAGAAAGCAAGTATCTGATTTCATTCTTAGCCCAGCTGCTGTTTCTGAGGTGCCCTGAAGAGCCACGTTAGGCCACTCTCCTGTGCCATTACAAAGGAGGAGGGGAGGGACTTCATGAGAGGTGAGCAGTGTGAGAGAAGACGGGTTTACTTTCTGGGCTGTTTTTTTGTGGGTGACTTTAGGTGGCAGAGTGGCACCTTTTGCTTTATGTGGCACAAGTGTTCCCTTCACAATATACCTTATCCTTGTAAGGAGCTCAGCTACTTAATTTACACAAAGATCTGGATCAGGTGAGGCCTGTCAGATGGGAGGGTGTCTGAGAGCTAACTTGATACCTAGGCAACTTTTCAGAAACACAGCTATCACGTAATTTGCCTGTCGTGTAAACTGGATTGAGACATTCTGTGACTCTAATTTTTTTTTTTATGCTGAAGTAATGTATACTATAGCATTCTGGTGTTTTTATATTTATGTAATAATTTCTTAAAACCATTCAAGGACAGATATTTAATTTTTTTTTTTTTTGCAGAAAGCTGGCAAGTTCTCCTAGCCTCTGTCTGTGGGATGAGAGGAGTTGAGGGGCATGCCAGTTCTGAATATTGGCTGAGGGTGCCTTGGCTTTTTGGTTCAACATCTAGAAACCCCAACCAGCTAGAACCAGTACAGCATATAAGAACAGGCAGTGCATGGTAGGCCCCTCCTCTGCCCCAAGCCCCTGCCGCAGCTTGAGAGTGTTACAGAGAGGAGGACGTACCTTCACACTCACTGCTGCTTTCCAGAAGGGCGGCTCCGACTCGTTTGGTGTGTCTGGGTGGGGGGACAGACGCTGGAGGAGGTTGATGACCTTCACTTCTCAGCCAGCCTGACCTTTTAATACCTTTGTAAAAAGCATGTATTTATAGTGTTTTAGATTTTTCTAACTTTTGTATCTTAAGAGCACCTGTTTAAGCATTGTACCCTTATTGTTAAGAGCTGTGTCCCTTCCTTTTCTCCCTGTAAGTGCCCTTCTAATAAACTTTTCATTGAAAAGCTCCTGTGCCACATCTGGTTGGGGAGAACATTTGCAAGGACACCCGGCGGAAAAGTGGCTACAAACCAGGCCCCCCCCCCCCCCCCCCGCCTCAACAATACCCTGCTGCCCTATTCACTCACCACAGGCCACACTCGGTACCAGGGGCCCTGGTTTCCTAAATGGTGTATCTCTTGCCGCCTCGTCCAGCTGTTGCACAAGTCCCGTGATGATGTCTCTGTGCTGTCGTGTCCCTTGCCGGCCTGTCTCTTCCATATTGTCACTGTGTCCTAAGTGCCACCAAATTCACCCTCCCACAGGCACAGAGGTCATTTTAGAGTCATAGGTAAGAGGATTTGCACGCAGCTCACATTACTTCTGTGAGCAAAAGACTTCAGAATTGCTTCCTTGACTGAATCTTATACTGATCCCAGTGGATTAAGAAACAAGATTAAAATGTAGAATACTATTTGGTTTGGGGGGTGGAGGACAGAATGGGCAGGAATAACAGGCTCCTTTAATGGTGCCATTTTTACAAGGAATCTTGCTACTTGAAGACATCTACAAGCACAATCCAAGCACCACTGGCCTATGGATTTGGCCTCCATAATCAGCATCAAATTCTATGTGATTCTTTGGCCAGTCTCCACCTCTGAGGGCCCCTTAAACTTTCCAAAGTTTCAGCTAGTCTGTATTTCTCAGCAAATCCACATCTCTAACCCATTTCTTGAGCTCCACAACTTTAAGCTGTTGCTGCCTATTAACACTTCAAAACAGAACACCCCAAACTAAATCATCTTCCACCTCCCTCAAGCATTCTCTTTCTGACTCCCCTATTCTTTAAGTCCTAAGTGCATGTCTTCCTGGGTCTCCATTAGCTCTGCTGCAGCTAACTGAACCTCCCTTCTGGAAAGATTCCACACACCCCCCCCCCCCCCCCCCATATGCCAGTTCTCCTCCACCTTGTCCTCTTCCCTGGCCAGGCGCTCCCTTCTGCCTGCTCCCTCGATGCTGGTGTTCTTGACATTCTTCCCTTAGTGATCTCATCCACCGGCATGATTTCAAGCCACATAAATGCTAACGACTCCCAAATCAGTATTTATAAGCCAGACATCAATCCTGAGCTTCAGACTCCTATCTAGCAGCCTGCTGGCTATTGGTGTGTGGAGGTACCACAAACTCAACTTAAAAACAGAATTCATCGCCTTTATGACCCTGTACCACACTATAGCCATGAAAACCAGCCCTTGTCAGTTATCTACCATTCCCTCCCACAGCCAGTCAGTCCTATTTCTCTTCTCGTTACCCTGCACTTCAGACTGAATAGCTGGACAAGCACCCCAGCTTCCAAACTATTCTCACCTCCAGCGCAATTTACCATAAACACACCATGCACACTGCTCATGTGACCTATTACCATGGAACACCTACCTGCGTCGCCTGGCCTGACCTAGCTCCCATGAAGGCTGCTTACCACTGTTTACAACATGAACCCCCCTTCCCCCATTGACATACCTGGCCCTGGTGCCTTCTGACACACACCACAGTTCCCCTGGCTAACACTTCATGACTACGCTTACACATTTCCAGGGAGCTGTCTGTGCATTTATTACCAACACAGTCTCAGAAATGTGTGAACTGTGGATATTCCCCCGTCTAGCCTGTATGTTCCTTGAGAGCAGTATTTACATCTTATTCTTGTATCCCTGCCTTCTTTTGCCTGCCATGTAGTCTGACTAAGTAAATCACAAGTACTGCTGTCTAGAAAATACTACCTTAATATCATTTGCATCCATGTCCACTGTGCTCTCCTACAGCGAGAAGCTGTAGGAAAGCTACAAAAAGACAGTTCCTAATTACCTTTTATCATAGCTTTTCCAGTAGTTGTCTTCCTGTGGGCCTTAGATGGCAAGAGGAGACCATGTTACCAATATTCTCTATATGTGGCGAAAACCACTAATGGCAGTACTGGGTCCATTCTCAGCCTCATACTCAAGTTCAACCGAGCTCCCTAGGCAGGCAGTGCTGGCTAGTGCTGCTGTCAGTCTCCTGCAACATAATTATGATCAGACATCTTCTGCTGTAAAAACCTTTGACTCCTTGATTAGCTCCAGAGTAAACACAGGCTTCACATAGTATTCTGAGTTTCTCTTCAACATCACCCTTACCTACTATCATTTCCTATGTAACCCGTTCCCTTGTTTTTTTGACCTCCTGCCTTTGCTCATGACGTAACTTCTGCTATGAATTATGCTGCCTCCTCATCCACCTGCCCAAATTCTTCCCCTTCTAGTTCAAGTAACACTTCCTCTAAGTGAGTGGACCCCAAAGTGTGGTCCCTGGCTAGCGGTATCAGGGTCATCTGAGACTTCAGAAATGCATTTCCAGGGGTAAAAGTCCAGACCTACAGAGTCAGAAAACTCTGGGGGTGGTCTCTCCATGCAATTCTGATGTGGACTCCAGCTAGATACACTTTTTGCTCTGCCGAACCCACTCCATTTACTCCTTCCTGCAGCCATTGAACTTGGGCTTAGCACTCTTCAGATTCTGCTTATCCCACTACCTTCTGTGGCCCTCTTTTGTTCATCCCCTTGTCCCATCTGAGTTGGTTGAGAAACCAGAGAACAGAACCCATATCCTTACCCAAGTCTGCACCCCTCATCTGACATAGTCTGGCCTATGAGGGTTCGGTCAGTGTTTGCTGGACCCTGAGTCCTCGCTTCAGCTCTCAAGAAAGTAAAGGAAATGACTACAACTGCATTTTCTCAATTTCATTTGACGCCTTCCAATACCATTACCAGCTTCCTGGGGATTGGTTTAGACCACGGCCTTGGGCTTCAGATAAAGAGAATCTTCTTTCTGCTAAATTACATTGCTCTTTCCATAAAGTTCCTACCCCAGGCCTCACTTAGCCCACATTTTTGTAGCATAAAGTCACCTGATAGGTAAAAAGAGGAAAAAACAATGATTGGTCACATGCTCCAAAGGAGAAAATGAAGGGGGCTGGTCATAAACAATTGTATGTGGAGTTGTTGATGGAGTCTGGACCTATAAACAAATTATACAGATAGAAAAAGGTCTTAAAGGAAAACTTCCTCCCAAACCTGTGCTTCAGATACAGTATTTACCATTAGGTTCAAATTTTCAATCAGTATCTTTCCACCAGGAAACAGCAGATCTGTAAATACTAAAGCGCTGGAGTAGGGCTCAGTGGGATTTCAACAAAAAGCCCATGCCACTGCTATTACCCTCTTCTTAATTCTCAATCTGCAAATCACAGAAACACCTCAGAATCGAAAAGATACTCCGATGCAGGAGGAACCATAATGCAATACAAGTGAAGGTATCTGTGTGAATTAAGATATTAATAGGCATAGGCAATCCCCAAAATATGAGACATTGAAAATGTCTAAGAGCCTTTCTGTAAGAGCTTACATACAAGAGGTGCAAGAATGGATCACTACACTAAACCCCTAGTGGGATCTAAATAAACTGGCCTGTGCTCTGCCCAAGTCCACTGTCAACCTTTAGAAGACACACAAATTATGGGAAAGTTAATAGGGTGTTGTGTATAAAATGACCCTGTACTAAGGTGCTCCTGAGTTCAGTTCATGTGACTGGATTTTTTGTGCCTTCTTTACCTAGAGTCCTCTAATAAGATTTGGCATTAAATGATAGAATGCGATAGCTAAACTACCTACTTTAAAATTTGGGGGAGAGAAGGGCAACCAACTCATCACAGCAGTCTCTGGAAATCTGTCTCCATCAATCAGAACATTCAATGAATCAGAACCTCTGACCACACAAACACATGTTTGCTAAGTTTAGCTCTGCATCAGCAAACATTCAAGCTCAGAATGGTTCGTGAGCTCTCATCTTACCCCTTACTGATTCTTCCAAGACTGTTTTTCCACGCAGGCCAAGGTAGGGCAAAGAGCATTCCATGTGTTCTCTCGATGACCATTGTTAAGACATTGCCTGAAGGTTAAGGGGATCCATCACAGTAAAAAAATGTTTAGCCCCATCTCTCCACCATGGGAACATCAAATTAGCCATGTATCACATTTCACCTGTTAAAAGTAGTTTGCAGTGACGGCCTGACATGCTCCATGGTGTTTGAACCGCATCCCGTATTACTCAGCCATCTAGTCTAGGTTCCCTGAATCTCTAGCTTCTCTCGAATAGACGTGGCCAAGTTCTATAAATAGAGGACAAACTGGGTCTGTCAATCTTCTCATACTCTGGCAGGAAAACATATTTTAAAATTATAAAAACCTCTATGTTCTCATCACTCTAAAATTATTATATAACATGAGTTTCTCTGGGATAAGTTTATTCTCATCTTTCCCTACCTTCCAACACTTACAGACTTTCAAACTTTGTGATCACGTTCCTCAAATCATTAAATGTATAAGCCCAACCAAAATTATGTGCCAGATACTGTATTATAGAAAAAATTTTCAAGAAGGAAAAACAGCCACGTCTCACATTAAGCCCCAGATGGACAGCCCACGGGAGCGTGTGGTGGCATGTAGGTCCCTGCAGCCCTTATTCCAGTATCAGTGGATGCTGAGCACTGTGCTCAACAGGACTTTAGTAGATTATCACTGGGTACTTTATCCCACACATCCCTTACAGAGGGCCCGCAGAGCTGAGGTCTGGAAAACAGGAGTTGATATTATCCATCTGCAAGATAAACTCCATATCAGAGTGTGACCATCTCTTACAATTACTCACTATTTATGTTTAACCCAGTGAAAGATCTGCAGCTTCCCACATCCCCTATTAAAAAAACTATAATACAGGCCCTCCCTGGTGGCGCAGCGGGTTAAAGCACAGCACTGAGAATCTAAAGCCACTTCCGCATGAGTTCGATTCCCGCCTGCCCCGGAGGTGACCACATGGCGTGGCAGACCTCTCCTGACCCGCCCGCTGCTCCCCTCAGCAGTGTACTTCGTCGATCTGCCTGTTCTGTTCCCCACTCTGTCTCTGGTGAAGCCTCTCGCCGCCCCTGAGCCTCTGGCCTGTACCCCAGTTCTGTATGCACAAATAAATAAAATCTTTTAAAAAAAAAAAAAAACTATAATACAAATACACCAAATTTATAAATCATATTTTAATGATCTGCTTTTTAATCCACACAATCAAGTTCAGTCTTTTCTAGTCTGTTTTCTCTATGTGACCTAATATTTTTTCTAAAACCTTTCATATTTTAAGAAAAATGTGTTCTACCTTCCACTTTGCAACCTCATCAAATGGCGAACACTGTCACCTCAAAGAAATACTGATGGAATTTCAAAAGCTGACAGTCTTAAAGACCTTTAGAATAGATTAAAAAGGAAGGAGGAAGGGGAAAAAATACCATCAATCAAGGTAACCTCCAGTGTGCCCTGAATGGCACTTCCTGAATGCCCCAGTCACCGACCCCTTCCCTCCCAGAGGGACTCTGCGCAGGCACCTGGCGCATTCCATTCCTCTGCCAGCTTTTCAATGTGTAGAAGGTGGTGCACAACGGGGCCTAGAATGCATTTCCACTGGGGAACCAAAGGGTTCCCACCCCACACTAGGCCAGAAGCAGTCTGCATGCTACGACGGTCCAGTCAACCCGCTGCCCTGAGTCAATGGAGAGCAAAGGTCCTGACTTGTCACAGTGCAGGTTAATGACATGCATTACAAAGTGTCTACAAAAACAGAAATAAGGATTTTCATTTGCTGTATTTTCCATGCTTCCTTTGAAAACTTCCCTTGTGGTGGGATCAGTTCCCCTGGAGCTGACCCACTCAGCCTCAGAGAAGCTACCAACTCTGGAGTCACTCAAGGATTCATTGCTTAATGTTCAACATTCTTTCTCACCTCACCTGCTCCTGGTATTACTATTTCAACAGTGACCTCTGTTGGCTTTCAGAGCAAAGGGGAGGGGAAACAAGCTTCATTCTGAGGGCATAAATCTTGACAACATAGTTGTGACATCTCCAGTAGCTGGAGGGGATTCTAGTGACTCTTCATGGTAATATTAACCACCTACATCCGTATATGACGACCTACTGCTTTTTGCCATGGCCCACAGAGGGAATTCCTTAAGGATCTCTCCCTCTTACACACACACCCCACAACTTGTCTTATTCCTATCAAAACAGGAAACATTTGCATGACAATGCAGTCTAAAATTTCACACTGGCTTCTCAATGCTTTCTAGCAGGAGCTCAAACACTCTATTTTCAATACAATGTTGCAAAACATTTATTTAGCTAAGATTAACAAAGGGCCACTGACTGGGCCTCCCTTTACCCCCTCACTGCAGCACAAACCAAATCCACAACTGACCCTTTCTTCTCAGTAAGCACATCAGAACACAGAACAACAAGCTCCTTAGAAGAAAATCCAGGACACCGAGAACGGGGACACAAACTCCTGATCTGTATTAACCAAGTGTGAATGCAGGAAATGCTATTTAAATGGCTGACAAGGAATGGCTTGGTGGTTTTTTCCTTCTCTAATTTGGGGAAAATCACACAGACCTCTAAGCTTCATTTGACTCCTGTTCCTAGAACAAAAAGTGTATTTGAAAAATTCTCACTCTGTATCATCTTTTATATTCCTTACTCCCTCACAATATATGGAGAAAAACGATTTCTCCTTAATCTCCTTGCTAACAACAAAAAATTAAGCGAACTTTATAAATAAGTCAGGCATCCAACATAATGGAAATTTCAGCAAAATATAACTAGGTGAATAGCATCTCACATAAAGAGTGAGTTAGAATCTGTTAGTCAAATCCTAGTATGAATAAATTAATGTTCTTCATCAGATGAAAGGCCTTCAATTTCATCTCTGTCTCCCCCAATTGCCATCCAGAATGCTTTGGCCACCTGTGGAAAGATGCAAGTAACAACTTTTAGGCAACATCACTAACAACACTGTCCTCAATTGCCAAGTTATAGACAACGTATGTGCCCTCCAACTGAGGGATGAAGAGACCATGGAGTGTATATCAAGTGGAATATTATGCAGCTGTTAAGAAGACAGCTGTTAAGAAAAACAGTGAGTTTGAAACAAAATGAATGAATCTCCAGCTGATGATGGTAAGTGAAAAAAGTCAAAGTGAAAAACAGATATTGGTTTGAATTATCTGTGGAATATGAACATCCAGAAAACATGCATAGACAAAATACAGAAGGAATAAATCTTGGACTTAGTGAAAGAATTTAAAGATAACCAGAGGGAACAGAAGAAAAGGAGGATGGGTTGGGGGAGGGTGGCAGATGAAGTACTGGCACAAACAGTTTGGTGGAGAGTGAGTGAACATGTGCACATATGGAACAACAAGAATGTAACCCCAAAATTAAAAAAAAGGAAATTTAGGCAACAGCTACATTTCAGCTCAGTTCATGTCATCATTTTGAAATAATTAAGATCTAGAGTCTACCCACTTCCTCCCCTAGCCCTCTGGCACTATTTATCAAAATCTTTGAATACCCCGACCCAAGACCTCCATAAAAGTTTATCCTCAAGATACAATCAGAACTGTAAACAAAGGCTATACACAGCTTAAAGTCTTACTAAAGCAAAAAAAAAAAAAAAAAAAGTACATGTCCTAATGTTCAAAAGGGAACTGACTAAATTAAAACATATTCATAGAATGGAATACCATGTATATTCCCTGCCAAAGAAAAAGTGTTACACTGGTATTAATAACAAAAATTTTCCAGCCCAACAGTTAGGAAGACAAACATCTAAAGTCTCAATGAAGGTTTCATGTCACTCAACATATATTTGGAAACACTGCATTGACTGCACCAACTATATTAAATATTCAACCAGCTCTAAGTTAACATCCAATGAAATGCTCATGCACTAAGATTCTATAGAAATAAACAAGGGTGACACATAATTCTAATAGCACCGGGCTTTTTGTAGGTTACTTAATAAATACCCGGCATGTGACTCACCTTTTCTGCATGAACTTTTCTTTGCTCATGAGGAAGTGTCGCCGCTTTGTCTAGAGGGAAAATAACAGCCTAAGAAATTCATTTCATAGTACAGGATATTATGGACTATATGAATATTTTAACACTCAAAGATGAAAGATGGATTTCAAAAATACATGTTTATGGTGTAGATATTACAGCTACAAGAAAGTTTAAGTATTCATATTTTCCAGAAAAGAGTGATGTGAGTATAGTAAGTAGTTATCTTACAGATTCCATGGTAATGAGACACACTGAGAGAAAAAACAGAGGCAAGAGAAGGAGGGAAAGTAAAAAGTAAGAGAACAAAGAGGAAAATCTCCCCCAGCGAATTTTTCCCACAAAGGACAGCACAATTCCCCAGTAGCTAAGTTTCTCAAGACAGCGGAACCCAATGAAGAGTCACAAAATAAAGTCTTACAACACAAAGCAGATGAGCATCAATATGAGAATACACGAGACACAATGGTTCTGATTACCTTTCATTTCTTTTAACTTCGAAAACAGTCTTTCAAAATTCTCCAAATCTCCTCCAGCAGTAGTAAGACTGGCTAATTCTTGAATATCCAGATCTAACATGGGGTCTGAAAAAAACATATGTTCCATTGCTTGTCACACATTACAGATGTGCTAAATATACAGCATCCTCAGGCTATCGTTTTTAGCTTGGACGAAAGTCACCACTGATTGAGCCCCCAGTGTGTATCGGCTTCACAGCTCAGTGCTTCAACTCTGCTTGGCTGCTAGCAGACCTCACCAATGAACAGTAATTTATCTTTAAAATGTTGTAATGAGACAAGGAATATTATTTCATTTTTGAGATGAGGGTATTATAGAACTCTGAGTTGAAATGACTCAGACTTGTTTCCAACTCTTAAAGTCCACTCTCCACGAAGGTACGTTGATTTACTAATAACTGCTTGACATTTATACTGTATTTTATTATACAACATATGTTTTTATATCTACTACTAACAACAATTTGAACAGGTCAGGACAAATACCACTGTCTACAATTTACACCTGAAACAATCCAGGTTTAAAATGGAATTCATCTAAAATTACAGCTATTCAGAGGTAGAGTTGATTTAAATTCCTATCTTACTACAAATGCTTTATTATTTTTATCTCAGTATGTAGCCTCTTTATCTAAGTTTGCCTTTAATCAAAATTTTTATTCATCCTCCACTCTAGGACGTCCACCCCAGAGAGGGTGTCCTCTCTGATCATGCGAGTTCAGTCTCCTTCCCTAAAGCCTGAGTTTACAGGCACTAAAACCTTGTCTCCGCTCTGGGATATTCCACTCTATATTGACATTTCTGCTAGCAACATCGTAACTACTATTACATGAGAGTTTTACTTTGTGTCTGAAGCTCTGAGAGCTTTAATTTACAGGATTCTATTTTTGCAACAATCCAGTAAGGAAGATTTTTTTCCCCCTATGTGACAGAAGGGGAAGCTAAAGCCTACCTGGTTAAATGACACACTCAAGGCACTCTCACTTCACTAGTAGAGCCGTCACTTGGACCCAGATGCCCAAGACTCCAAAAGCCCGTGACCTTAATCATTACATTACAGGGTTTTAAAGCACTAAGTTCCTTGAAGACAAGGATGATTTTTGTTATGACATCCCTCAATACAGGTTTTCTGGTGATCTCTTGTTAGTAGAATAAGGTTATGTGCCTTTGGCAGGAACAACACAGAAGTGATATTTCCTTGGTGTATTATATTGGGTAGGGTGGGGGTTAGTATTAATATGCCTTATTGCTGGTGTTAACCTAAAGTATCATCGGTTTGGTTTCTCTAGTATAAAGTTACTAATTTCCCTTTTGTAACAAGTACCTTGGGAAAACTCCTTTAAGAGTATTCAAATGCCATGCATCTTCTCAAACCTTCTAATCTTAATGTACATCAGTGAATCTTCTCTGCAACAACTATTACTGTGCTGGGAAGCTAACGCTGAGCTTTCTATCCTCTTCAACAGTCCCTCTGTATTTTATTCACTGTAATTCTAAAAGGAGAGCAGGCCCTTTCTTTCCTAGTTGTTTATATTAATATAAACTCATGGGTATTTATTTTATTCTGTAAGAGCCCCATCAATCCTGTATTATTTTCCTGATCAAACTAACCCAGCTTTAGCTACGAAACTCTTTCAGCTTGATTCTTGTGCCTAATTTTTAGTTAAGCCCCTTTTCTTTTTAGCACTTCTTACTTTTTGGCATCATGAGATCCTCCAGGTTCATCCTGAAATTTTCCTGCTCCGTTCCAGAAATCAATCACTTCTCCAAGTAGCCCTAGTTCCTTTTATTGGAGAGCAGTATTCAGAAACCAAGACTTAAGTATTAAGTGTGTCCACCGCTACTGGAGCGTTGGTGCTTCGAGGCCCGCTCAATATTTCAAGAGTCAAAAATATATAATACATATGCGTAATATAGCTTACTTATTTCTCCACCACTCTATATTTTTAAAAGTCGTGTATACACTTATACACTCAATTCCAGTCTAATACCAGAGTTCATCCCAGCCTCCCCCTTTCCTTACTTGTAACTTCTCTGGCAGTGAAAAACCTAGTTATCAACTCTATTTTCTTAACCCCTACAGATATACATGAATAATATCTAATTTCAGAATTTCTAACCTATATCCCTGTGAGAACCAAATTTATTAAGTAGAGTTCAATAATTATGTTTAGTTCTTTTTGTTTTTAGCCTAATGGTATCTGGTCAGTTTTCCCAAGTGACTTAGGTTATTAGCTCTTGCTACCCCCACCCCAAACTTCCTTCTTCAGTGTGGTGAATGGTTTGTTTGCAAGGCAGAAATATTTGCAGGTTAAAAATCAACAAAGAGGATTCAGTTGAGAGAACAAGATTGAATAAACTGGAGAAAAAAGGTTATGCAATTTTTTTTGTATGTTCCTATAAGGAAATTCCTTGAATTTTCTACATGAATCATAATCAAGTAGGTTTTTAAAAATGTATTACTGCAGAGAGAATTTCTGTGGCACCAAGAGAAAGAGAGACAGCAGAAGTTCCCCAACAAAAGAACATCTACAGTTATTGTCAACTAAGCTCCATGGCCTTCTGGCTTTTGGAACAACAGATTAGATTCTGGTTTCAGTTCCAGGACCTTCTTGTTAGATGCCCTTGGGCAAGTTATTAAATTGCTCTGGGCTTTAGTTTCATTTCTGTAAAACAGTTCTCTGCCAAAATTCATCATCAAATGAAAAAAATGGACATAAAAGGTTGTTAAAGGACTTATAAAACTGTATTATTCTTGTCACCATCAATTCTGACTACTGTTAAATACTATGAAAAATTGTGGAATATGGAGATTTAAAGCTGTTCCACCAAATGGTTCTGTCTGTTTTAACTAAGATGATCTGAAGCAAGATCCTGCCAAAAGAATCAGAGAAAACCCAGACTTGTTATGTATTTATTCTCCTTATATCTTGACAGCCATCCACATGGCTCATATTCATTTGGGGCATACTATTTTTCTTCCCTCGCCCATGAATAAAGTCAATTTTCCCGTCTATGATTTAGGTCCCAACGTCTACTTTAAGTAGCACAGAGTTGTCCAGGGGCAGTCAAAGGAGAAACTCACCCACAATACTATCAACCTGAGTGTCTGCTGTATTAGATGCACCACCCTGATGGTCCAGGAGGGATTCAGTCCTATCTGCTGCTGGCAAACAAGGCTGCTGTTGAAGAAAATACACACAAGCAATAATTTAACAGTAGGCTATTTCAGAACTAAATCCAAGAAGGCTGACATTTTACTCCCTGGATGGCTTTAGAAAAGCAGTAACAGGCTAGAGACGAGGACAGATAGAAGAAGGATCAATGCCACATTTAAAAATAAAGGGCTAACAATTCACTAATTCAAGAGTACTCTCCCTCATAAAAATTTTGATAGAGTTGTAATTTTTCTATTAAAAATAGTGTGTGTATGATTTAAGATCCATGTTTAATTAAAATGTGAAAATGATTAGAATGGTATAACAGTTCAGAGAAAAAAAGCTGCCTGGCTTTTTCAGTGTGGCTCTGTACGATTTGCTTGGCTCTGGCATGGTGACCAAGGTTGTTAACTTGGACCCAAGTCCCTGAGGATGGAAGGCTGATGTGAACCCACTGAGTTCATTTTTTGTACCTCAGATTTATACAGGGCATTGTACACCAGAAGTACTGAAAAGAGCCATCAACTTTAATACATATTTAATAATCTGGAGGCAACTTTAAGCCTCAAGGAAATTCTAGCACATTTTAGAAGTACTCTAGCCAAAAAAAAACAAAACAAAACACAACCTTGGAGTAGATCAAATACCAAAGCATCCTAAAAGGGCTTACTACTTTAATGCTAAACTAGCCTTTTCTCAATGGGTACGAGGCACAAAATGGCTGTTGCATTTTATTTTCTCCCACATTCTATTGATTTGCCACTAGTTTACAGGACTGTGCAACTCTGAGAATACGCTTCCCACTTCCATGTAGACATGACTCACTCACCTTCCCAGTCTTCAGTGCCACAACCCTGTCACCTAACCTCCCTCCTCCCAAACTCTTTGGTATAGTTTATTTTTTATAAAGCCCAAAAATTATTCCTGTTGCTTTTCTCGTTTAATTATTTATATTCCACAAATGAATGAAACCATCTAGCAATTATCCTTCACTTTCTGACTTATTTCATTTAACATAATCAGCTCAAGATCCATTCATTTTGTTCCAAGAGGCATTGTCTCATCTTTTAAATAGCTAAATAGTATTCTGTTGAATATATATTCCATAATTTTTCACCATTTATCAGTGGGTATTTTAGATTGGTTCCATGACTTCACTACTGTGAATAATGTTGCTGTGGCCATAGGAGTATACAATTTTTTTTTATTAGTGTTTTCACGTTCTTTAGACAAATACCTAGAAGTGACAGTGTTGGATCATATCAATGCACAAAAGGTTGTTGAATTTCTACATGCAATGAATTGTCTGGAACTAAACCTAACAAAAAAGATGAAGGAACTATACACTGAAAACTATAAACACTGTCAAAGGATATAAAAGAGGATACCAAAAAAAAAAAAGGAAAGATAGTCTATGTCCATAAATTGAAAGACTAAACATTGTTAGGATGGCTATATTACTTGAAGCAATTTACAGATTCAGTGTAACACCTATCAAAATCCTGACAACATTCTCCAAGGAAACAGAACCATTTTAAAATTTCTATGGAAACACAAAAGGCCCTGGATAGCCAAAGCAATCCTGAGGGAAGAGAGGAAAAATGGAGGTATCACATTTGCTTTACTACACAGGGATAGTAATTAAAACATTATGGTATTGGAACAAAAAGAAAACAGACTGAAGAACCCAGAAGTAAAACTACCCAAACACTGCCAGTTAATTCTTGAACAAAAAGAGCCACAATAATAGAATAAGAAAAGCCTCTAATAAATGGCGTTGAAGAACTTGTTTCATGTTAAAAAAAAAAAAAAATCATTACTGACTTAAGACATAAACTCTAAAGCAATGTGGATTAAAGACTTAGTTAGCTACAACGCCTGAAACTATAAAATACTGTGAAGATATCATAGAAGATACTCCTGGACATCTGCAGATATAACTCCAATGGCAAGGGAAATGAAAACCAACACGTAGAACTACATCAAACTATAAGGCTTTTGTATTGCAAAATAAACCATCACGAAAAAACAAAAAAGCAACCTATGGATTGGAAGAAGATATTGCATACTATACATCCTATGAGGAGTTAATTTCCGAAACACATAAAGAATTCAATAACAACAACAACAAACCTCAATCTAAAAAGACCAAAGACTTTAATAGACATTTCTCAAGATATGCAGATTGCCTATAGGCACACAGGGGAAAAAAAAAAAAGCTAACTATCACACTATCACTTATAAAAAGAGAAATGCCAATTAAAATACAGTGAGGTAGCCCCTCACCTCTGTGAGAATGGCCTAAATCAAAAAGACTGGAAGATTGTTGGCAATAATGTGGAGAAAAAAGAACATTTCTTTTTTGGTGGGTATGCAATTTGGTGCAACCTCTATGGAGGTTCCTTTAAAAAAATAAATAGAAATACTGTATGATTCAGCAATATCACCGCTAGAAAGAAAAAAATATTCCCAAAGAATATGAAAACACTAATATGAAAATATTTATGTATTCTCAGGGTCATAGCAACATCATTCACAATCAAGTCCTGGACCGAATATGAAATACCCACTGATAACTGAACAAAGAAATTATGGAATACTCAGTGGAATATTACACAGCTATTTAAAAAGATGTGTTTGGGAACTTTCCCTCCTTTTCAATTTTTCAAGCATTTGATGATAGGTATTGGATAATCTTAAAAGTTTGGGTAGAATTCACTAGTTAAGCCATCTGGCTCTGGGCTTTTGTTTTTGGGGCATTTTTTATTACACTTGTGATATTTGTGTATGTGTTTGGTCTACTTAAGCTATTTCATCCTATATGATTCTAATTAAGTTTGTCCAGTTCTTCTAAATTGTCCAGTTTGTACACTTATAGATCTTCACAGTACTCTTAGATTCCTTTGTATTTCTGTGGCATCTGTTTTAATTTTTACCTCTACTCCAGTTAAGTCCATCTGATCCATGGGTTCATTTAAGGACATCATTTCTTTATTTAATTTTTGATGATCCACCCACTCGTGTAAAGAATGTGTTGAGCTTTCCTACCATTATTGTGTTGCTGTCAATGTGTTACTTTAGTTCTGTTAACAGCTGTTCTATATGTGGTAAAAGTGTTTTGGGTATACAAATACTTATGGCAGTTATATTTTCTTGATGAATTGTCCCCTTCAACATTATATAGTGCTCTCCTTCGTCCCTAATTACTTCTTGGGGGGCTGGGGGAGGCTGAAGTCTCATTTATAAGGCATCAGGATAGTAGTTTGTTTTTACTGTTACTGGCTTAAAATATTCTTTCGCATTATGTCTGTAATTGTCTTTAGATCTGAAGTAATATCTGCAATTACTGGGTCATCCTGAGTCATAATTGATGAATTCAGACAATTCACATTTAAGGTGATTAGTGATACACAAAGTTTATTGCTGCCATTTTTTCTTTTACTTGTTTCACCTTTCTATGTTTTTTTTTTTTTGTCCTTTAGTTTCAATTTGCCTTTTCATTTGGATGGCTTCTCATGGCTCTTCTTTCAGTTTACTCATTTATTCTTCTAAGTGTCTCTATTCCAGGTTTTTGTTGTGGTTACCATGAGTATTGCTTCAAATGTTCTATATCTTAAAGTCTCTTACGCTGTTATCAACCTGCAGTCATTTGAATACACATTTGAAAATTTTGTGGTTCTTTTAGCTTCCAGGACATGATTGTTTAGTTCTTTCCTCAGGTTGAGGAAGTTCTGCACTATCATGTCTTTGAACAGTATCCCTGTTCCCTTCTCTCTCTCTGCAGTCTGATATTTTTTGTAGAGATTCTTCATTTTTTCTAAATCTTTCACTTGGATCATTAGAACATTTGTATCTTCAATTGACAAATTTCTCTCTTCTGTGAGCTTCATTATTTAATAGGTTCTCTATGTTGGTCCTCATTTCATTCAGCATCTTATTTTGTGTATGTATTTTTAAAATATCTTCAGTCTCTTCAATGAAGCACTCTGTTCCTAGATCTCTTTTCTAATATCCTACATCTGCCTTCCTATGTGATTCAACTGCTAGGACTCATTTTTGAGTTTTAAACATTGTTATTCTAACATCTTTTATCAGGTCCTATAATTCTGTGACCTTTATATTGATCTCGTTCCACCCTTCTCTTTTAGCTTTTTTATCTTGTGTTCAGGTGCCCTGGTCTCCCAGATATATGTGTTGCCTTATTGCTCTTTACCAATTGGGGCACTGTGGCTGTAATTTTATGTTGGCAGCAAGTGAGAGAGAGGGAATGCTGGAATCCAAAGTTGGTATTAATTTTGATGGAGAGTGAGGGTTATTCCAGGCAGAGAAATTTATACTGCTGCTTATTCCCTTGCTTTGCAAAGCATAATCCTATACAATGCTTCATAAAGGCCACATCCCAAATCCCAAGGTCCTGCCTCTAAGCCACTCCTTTCTGTTTGCAGTGTACAGCCAGTCTCTCAGACCCCTTAACAAGGAGATGGGAGGGGTCCTGCTGCCCTCACTGCAGGGGAATCAACAGTCCCAGGACCCATGCACAAGCTAGTCTGTACTCCCCATCCCTAAAATAAAATTCCCTGCTCATGGTCCATTCACCAGTTCAGCCTGTACCAGGCTCCCTGCTTGGGTCATGCCTCCCTTAAGGTCTCCTTCCCAAAAGGGAGTCACCACCTTAGAGGTATATATTTGTAGTTCAGGTCCCTGTTGCTGGCAAGTAACTGGTGATCTTTCCTGAGCACCAAATTTAGTTTTTCTATAGTTGCATTTAGGGGAGAGGTTTAGCAGACCCTCCATTATTGTGGGTAGAGTGAAGAGGATTGGTTTTGATTTTCCTTTTATCTACTTTTAATATATACTGCTGCCTCTTAAAAGGGAAAAATGACAAATGGTGTATAAAAGAGAAATTAAAGCCAAACCCAAGAAAACTGTTACCTCTGAGTGACAGTTCTCTGCTGATCCAATGCTATGGTTTGCTCCAGTCAATGAGCTGAGAAGGTTAAAGCCTTGGTTCCTATCTGGGAAAAGAAAAATACAAACCACTGAATTTTTTCATTTACATTTTAAATTGTTGAAATGATTATGATAAAAATAATGGCTATTTCCTCATTACAGTAAGTCTTAACCATAAGAAACAGTTAATACTCAATTACCATTCTGCCTCAATTCTTAATTCTTAAAAAAATCATAAAATGACAAGGCTATCACAACAAATGAAAGGGCAACTCAGCAGTTTTGTTTGCATAAATTAGCAACACTGATGTTTTGTTTGTCACTATGAGCTAATATTATGTCTTAATCAAAAACATTCTGAAAACTCAACATTACAACTTTATTATTGGGTGAAAAGGATCATACATGCATTTACTGATATAAATGGGTCATTTGCAGTTAAGGGTCCCAATATTCTTGATATTTCTATTCACAGTAAAGGACAAACCTGAAATAGAACATCTAGATTTAATGAACATATAAATAAACACTACCCATGATCTATCATGTCCCCTAAGTCACTAGGCACTTAGTATGATCACCCCGGTATTCAGGAACCTGAATTCAGGAGGCTGAAACTCTAGGACTTGAAAGGTCAAGTAATCTGAACTTTCAGCAAGTACTTCAGAACAGTCTTAGGACCAGGGAAATCAGACCCAAAAAGTCTATTTTAAATGCCTCATCCTTTGCAGCCATGATGGGGATCTGGGATGGAAAAGAGAAATCAGACCTATATACTTTAAACTTTGTATACCTTTTCATTTCTAATCCCTGCTCATGTGTTTATCTAGTAAAAGATTTTTTTTAATGATTTTATGCTATATGTATTTAACCTAATTAAAAATTTGGTAAAACTAGATCAAATGAAAACTAAAAGTTGATAAAACTATGAAAAGTTGATAAAACTATGAAAAAAATCAGAATAGTGGAAGAGAAGTGGGTAATAATCAGAAAGCCTGGATTTTATTCCTGACTCTGGTTACCAATGATCTTGGAAAATTAATCTACTTTTTTCTGTGTTTCAATTTTCTGATCGATAAAATAAGGGTGTTGTGGTGGGGACATTGTTGTATATGGATTTTCAAACTCTTTCTGTTCTAGAAGTTTGTGATTTCATGAAGTAATGAGGTACTCTTTGGCATCTTGATAGTAACTGGATTAGCTGGGCTGAAGTAATTTTAAAAATCACTTAATAGAAAAATAAGAACCTTAAATTTCAGAATCCTTCTAATATTTATAGATGACTACAGATTTATGATGAGGTTTCAACCTAATCACATAAATTGGAAAGACTTCTGGCCCAGTTTTAGAACTGGAGAATTTGATCAACTACTAAGCAAGTTCATTTACTATTGTTTTTATGTTCAGAAGTTATAAACAAATTTAGACAAATATTTTTTGTTTATCTAAGGCAGATGCACATGTAGGTTGCTCGAAAAGCTTAGATGATTATTTTACACATCCATGATTTTAAAGAAACTAAGGTGTACCCAGTTCAATGTTCAGCAAAATTTTGCCCATGTTCTCCCACTATTCTCTTCACAGAAAAGGATTAATCTTTTCACGTTTGCCAGATTTTTCTTCACAGGATTTAGGACATGGAAATGTCATTCCCATTAGAGAATGTATTCCTTTAGTAGGTAATTGTTGAACCTGGCTTTAGTATCTCTGGTTCTATTGATGCCACAAAATACCAGACTAGGAACAAATAAATTAATCAAGCCACAAAGATTCTTCCACAAAGAAATCAACTGATTCTTCTGGAACTTCAGAGCTGCAGAAAAGAGAAGTTAAGTGATACAAAATAAGTTATTATGTTAGGCTAAGTATATCAAACTCTGGTCCTCAAAACATTTAGTTCAGTTTTAGTACACTAATCAGGGAATAGATAAAAATGATAGTAACATGGAAAAAAAAAAAAAAAACCTACTGGTGCCAGTTGGCAGCATAGTATTCCAGAACCTAGCAAGTGTTTGAAATAAAACTATAGGCTATGGAATAATGATGTAACAGAAAACTATCACCTCGGGGAATAGATAAGCTTTTATGTATTTACACATCTGTAATACGTCACAAAAAAAGTTGAAATATGATGAAAATATTTGGATACTTCTTTTCAATCTAAAGCAATATGCTATATAGAAACATGAAATGCATGTGACACATAATAATTCTGACTTACAGAATTATACAGGGAAAACAATATTTTTTTTTCCTTCTAGTTTTTCTGCTCTTCTACTTTTGGTAGCAACATGATAAGCATATGAATCTGAAGACAGATGGATCTGAATGTTACTTCTACTATTTACTGTGTGATTTTATACAGGTTATTGCCTCTCTTTACCAGTTTCCTCACTTACCCAGTGGGTTAACAAGTCTTATCTTGCAGAGCTAATGTAAAGGTTAATACTAAAAGCTAACATTTAAGCATAAACTGGGTGCCAAATATGTGCCAGGTAACATTCTAAGCCCCGAACACACAATGCTTCTTTAATCCTCACAGTAGCCAAAGTATGTCTCCTACACATATACAGAAATCAACATATAGCTCATCTTCTTTTACAAAGAATTTATTTTACTATTCTCTTTTACACAGTGAACTAAAATGCAAAGAGATTAATAAGTAACTTGTCCAAAGTCACATAACTGGAACCAGAATGCTCTACATCTAAATTCCATACTTTCTCCGTTAAGCCCAGAGGTAACATGTAGAGTTGACACAGTCAATGCTTAATATAAAATACCAGCTAAGACACAAACTTGGGTGAAATGCAAAAAGATGTCTATTACTCACATATATATCCATTTTGTCACTAATCCTTCTTAACAACCCTGGTTTAGGCTGGTTAAATGACACTAAACAGCTCAGGGCTGAATCATTAATCACATGCCACTATTAATTGATCCCAGTCCCTTAATACTGAGGGCACTGATCACCAAAACTAGTAGCAGAAAGGCAGCTAGGCCCACTGTTCTTCAATATCCCTCAAGCACATGTAAACAAGAGTTTCTCAATCTCAGTGCTATGGCCATATGAGGGTAGATAAATCTGCAGTGTATGGGAAAGGCCAGGGGCAATGGAGAGTGGGTGTCCAGGAGACTGTCCTCTGCACTCCTCAATTTACCTAGCCTTGAACTACCTCTCCAGCACTACCAAATATCCTCAGGGAAACAAAATCTGCACTGTCAATGGCCAAGGGACCTCACAGCCTCCTGTGAGATGCCACTACTGCCTGCCCAGACTGGTGAGACTCCACACCCATGCTGCAGGTGACAGAGTGGTCCTGGGCCCCATGACATCCCACAAAACTTCACCACAACCACCCAGAGTGGAGAGACCTGGATCAGTGAGAAGGGAGGAGGCATACCCAGAGGAAATCCCACCTATAGCAGCTAAATCAAACAATGCCTAAGTAGTACTAAAGCAAATAATGGGGTCAAGGAAAAACTGAACGAACACCCACAAGAATTCTCAAAGAAATAGTACAGCAAAGGAAAAAAATCTCCAAAACTACTAAAGACACAAAAGATATGTTCTTCCTATTAGATACAAAGCATAAAATTGCAATGATAAAGAAATTCAAAGAAATGGAAAAAAACTCAAAACAAATTAATATCTTTGGAAATAAAATTAATGAACTTAAGGTAGGAAATGAAACTAAATAAGCTGACAATGGGGCTTCAGGATATTAAAAAAAAATACAGGAGATGAAAAATTCAGGAGAAAGCTATGGAGGTAGAATAGATAAATGGAAGAGCTAGTCAGATTTGCACGTGAAGATGCAAATACACAAAGAACCCGGGCAGAAAAAAAGCTAGTAAAAAAAAAAAAAAGAAGAAACCTGAAAAGATCTGCAAAGAAATAACTCATACAAGACAAGTGACTCAGGCCCTCCCTGGTGGCTCAGCGGTTAAAGCACAGCACTAAGAAGCTAAAGCCACTTCCGCATGAGTTGGATCCCCACCCGCCCTGGAGGTGATCCACATGGCACGGCAGACCTCTCCTCAGGTGCTGCTCCCCTCAGCAGTGCTGCTCCCCTCAGCAGTGCTTCGGCAATCTGCCTATTCTGCTCCCCACTCTGTCTCTGGTGAACCCTCTCACCGCCCCTGCACCTCTGGCCTGTGCCCCATTTCCATGTGAATACATTTTTTTTTTAAGTGACTGAAAAAATGAGCAGAACTAAAGAGCTCCAGAAACAGACTGCAACAAGACACATGAAAATTGTCCATTACTTATCAGTAAGGAAATGCAAATCAAAGCTAGTATGAAATACAACCTCCCGACTGGGAGAATAACACAGACCTAAAAGGTCAGAAACAACAAGCACAACCAAGGATGCAGAGAAAAGGGAAGGTAAATAGAGATTGGCCAGCCTTATGGAAAGTGGTAAGACAGTGTCTGAAAACATCATGGACCCACTAATTCCACAAGGCATCTAGCTTATGAGCCACTAATTCCACAAGGCATCTAGCTAAAAAATTAAAAAGGACTAATTTGAAAGGAAACTTGCACTCCCATGTATACTGCAGTGCTATTACTATGGCTAAATTATGGAATCTACCTAAATGCCCCCAAACAGGTAAGTGGCTCAAGAAGATGTGGCATCTATAAAGATAAGCTCTGAACTCTCCCTGGTGGTGCAACAGGTTAATGCACTGCACAGTGAGTCTCTCCGAAGCCATTGCAACACAAGTTCGTTCCCCTGCCAGGGAGCTACCCAAAGGTACGGCAGGCCTCTCCTGACCCGTCCGCTGCTCCCTTCAGCAGTGTTTCAGTAGATCTGCCTGTTCTGTTCCCTACTCTGTCTCTAGTGAATCCTCTCACCCACCACACCTCTAGCCTATACCCCAATTCTGTGAGCATAAATAAATACATCTTTAAAAAAAAAAAAAAAAAGATAAACTCATCCCATATGGCAAATTGGATTGAGCCAGAAAAGATAACGCTAAATGAAATAAGAGAAAGAGAAATACTGGAGGGTATCACTCATATGATGAATATAAAGTAAGAGTCATAAAAGGACAA